CTAACAATTTGTATTACACGGCTTTAGTTGAATACTCCCTTCTGATTGTAAATTCTTAACATGTGACACGTTGTTAATACAGTACAGACCGCTGTCAAGGACTATAATGAAGGTTGCTAAGGAGGATCAAGAAAGAGACAGGGAAAGAGGTTAAAAGACGGAGCGCTGGACGTCAGATAAATCATCAGAAGAAGGCAGAGAGGAAGTAAACAATAACAGGACACGGAATGGGCTCTGTAGTTTGTTTAGTATGACCGTGTAATAAGCGGGATAATGTGCAGCGAGGCGGTCATTATGGGGAAAAGAACACCCGACAGAAGGGGAAACACCAGGTTTACTAATCAACTCGCACAAATTTTCTCTGGTGTCGGAATGTCTCGCGATGTTAGTGGATTCTTAAAAAACAAAACACCATTTAATTTCGGGTTAAAATGTGTTGTAACTGCGTTACTGAGAATTGTAATGGGTAGTATATTACCCAAAAGTCATTAGTAATGCCTTACATTACTTCGTTACAGCAAAAGGTAATACATTACTGTAACTGTTACTTTTGTAACAAGTCACACCCAACACTGCACATCAATACTTAACATTCACACTAGACCTATTTTATGTGTTTTGTTAAGTTGCGTACTATAATTTTCCCATATTTTACAAACAACTTTCAAATCTAGAAAGCCCCTTTTTAATTTGGTCGTATGTTTATGGTGGCATCCCACATACGCATGTGTCTGTCGGAAGGTATAATCAATCGACTTTTTATCCAGTTTTAAGACTAATTTTGTGATACAATTACATTTTTGGGATTTAGTATGTGTTTGACAACATGTTTCAACATGATAAAGGATTGTAGTCACAGGACTTTGTCATCAATTTGACCAATCAGTAAGTTACAGCCAGAAAGCCCAAAGAAACACTGATTTTGAATGTGAAATAGCTTCATTCAGTGTTTTCACACATTTTTAATCACTGTTGTTTTTTGATGGTAGACCAAACTCTCAGACTCTGAGAGTACACACACACACACACACACACACACACACACACACACACACACACACACACACACACACACACACACACACACACACACACACACACACACACCTACCTCTTTAAGTTACAACCTTTAACACAACCTTCTCCTTCCACTCTTCTTCTCCTTCACTGTAGCTGCTGGGTCTGCCAGACATAGAGGACGACAGTTTTGAGCACTACCACGCTGACATGGAGGGGGAACCGGGGCCGGACCACCAGCAGATGGGGGTCAGCCAGCAGTGATGAAACCCCGAGATGAGGCCTGCAGCTGCGGCAGAGCTGCGCCAAAGCTCTGGGCCTCAACTCATCAGCCCAAAACACTTACACTCTAATCCAAACACACACACTTACGGCCAACTTGCTAAAAATGCAGCACCATGTTCTTGAATGTCAGTGGCTTTGCTTCCCAAAGAGTGCACTCTGTTGCACTGTATTGACCCCCCCCCCCAACACACACACACACACACACACACACACACACACACACACACACACACACACACACACACACACACACACACACACACACACACTGGGGCTACATGAGCAGTAGCCACGTGCAATGCAAGTATCATAATCATTCAACATCTGGTTAGTTAAAGTTCCACAGCACAGCAATATTACATCAGCCTCAGCTGGGTTTGTTATGCAGAAAAACAGAAAGATGTTACCGCAATACACACACACGCACACGCACACACACACACACACACACACACACACACACACACACACACACACTTCCCCCGTGACTTTGGAGATGAATGTGACCGATAACCTACTTTCTCTGCCAGTCTGTTGACACAGAGGATACACGAGAGCTAGCTGAAAAAACGAACGGGCGAAAAACTGACAGTTTGTGGCTACGTGAGGCAACTGCAGTGACGCAGATTTAGAGAAAGAAAATAATAAAAAGAGGGGGAGAGGAGGAAGGAGGGGAAGTTTTACACTTCAAACAAGACGACACTGAGAAAACTGAAAAGTTGACTTAAATTAAATGTGTTATGTCAACAGATTTCACATAACTGTGTTGACATAATACATTTAAGGCAACGTTTCCTTTTTTTCAGTGAACTTAGGGATGTATAGCTGTGATGTAGATTCAGATGGGGCAGCTCTAAAACTAGTTTTAAATACATGGTTAAAATTGTCGCATAGATTACAGTAAAAAAAGCATTTTTACACCATGTGGAAATCAAAGTGTGCGGCTTTACAGTAGCATGGATCATTTCTTGAGGTTTCTTAATGTTTCAAAGGCAGTGCACCTCAAAGAGTCACGTAATGAGGACGTTTTTAATCAATGTTACTATCATATGACCATCACAACAAAGGCCCATGCTGCAGCTTAAGCCCTTCCCCAGGCTCATTGTCATATGACACCCTTATGTCCTGTAGTCTTCCTGCTTGTTCACAGTGTGCCCTTCTTTCTTAGCACAGTTATAATGACTTCCCAAATCTAGCCACAATTTTGTTTTGGCGTGTGTTGTTTTTGAATTTATTGGCTCCTTTTACAAGGTTTTCTCTTAAGCATAAAGTGCACACCTAATTCCCTAAATGATATCACATGGGGGGAGATAATATTTGTTGCCTGCCACCTTCTGCCTGCCCTGTTATCTCTTATCTCACAGTGTGTTGTTGTATGTCACATCCAGCGCAACGCTTCCTTGCCTTTCAAGCACACATGCAAGACTGTTTTCAGAGATTCATCTTTAGCCTGTTTTCTTTGGCTTGTAAATGTTGTCCTTTTTTATTTGAATGTGTTACCATGCAGTGTATCTTTTGTTTGTCCTCCGATGTGTGTGGAATTGTTCAATAAACCGTGTGAACAGAGTGTTCCTCGAGCATGTTTCTTTATTTACACAAGTTAATGGAAGACAAAGCGCCAAACATGTAGGGCTTTTGGTATCACAGTGGGCTGGTGAACTGCTGCTCTGCCAACAGCCCGCTGGTGTTGCTGGGATTGACGTCACGCGCCACCTGACGCTCACCGTCAGGGCTGCGTCAAGCTGTAGACGGGTTACTACAGACAGGAAGCTACAGGAAGGCCTTCAAAGTAAAAGCACACATTGTATCTGCTAAAAAGGTGGTAGCTTTTTCTGAACTACTTACAAAAGCAAAATACTGGACTACCAAACTGTAGTCTATTGAAGATTTGTATCTATATCTGCAGATGACTTTTGAAAGATACACATCATATACAACAATATTTTACACATCTCTAATAGTGGAAGAAGTCCTTGTGCAATTCATGTTATAGTTTTTTAATTTTGGATGAACTGACCATTAAATGTTCCACTTTTTGAGAATAATCAGACAACCCTCAAAAGTCTCTCGTTATTTTTTTTAAAATGTCAGTCACATTCAGTCAGACCACAAAGGGGCAACAGGAAAACAGAATATTTAAACTCCTTTGTGACAATTTATTTTAGTGTTAAAGACTCATTGTCTACAGCGCATTTAGTAAAAGGGGAATTTTTTTAACCTAAATAGGCCTATGCCAGGCTTTTCTTTTTTATCTAACATATTGTGATAATAGGTGGCTGAAGACACTTTAGGTCTATCAGTAGATTTGTTTTAGGAGACCATTTCCTCAGTGAGCGCAGTATTCATTTTGTTTGAGAAACTAGTAGGAAGTAGTTTATGGTTTTAAATAATACACTGATGTATTATTTGATGTATGATATTTTAAAAACATGGAATTTATTTCACTATAACATTTACTTTTACAGTTTGTAAACATATGTTTTGCACAAGTGGTGTGTTCACTGCTTTTACTTTGAAGGCGAGTGTATAATGTCCCGGTTAACTGCGTGTAGTTTGACAGAGCTGCTTCACTGGGGGAGGAGGGCAATCCCTGCTTTTATTTTTCTTTCCAGACGGCCACAGTTGAGCACAAAAACAAACTTGAACCAGACGAACTGTGGGGCACTTGCTCTAATGCGCTCGTCTGAAGTGGAGCAACTGAAGGCTTTTATCTGAAGATATTTTTTCCATTGTTGGAACAAAAAAAAAAGGGAAGGGCTCTGCTAAGAAAAAAAAACAACCATTGGGAAATTAAGTTATGCGTAAGTGATTGCGCATTTTACGCACAAGGCTCAACGTGAAACTTTAACATGTTGGATCACCTCGCCTTTGTTGTTGTGCACATACTCGGCTTTATTTCCTTTGTTGCTGTCAGTCTTTCAGAAGTCACCATGTCTCGTGGCTAAACACTTTAAATCGCACACACAACCTGAGGAGGTGAGACTGACAAAGCATGGGTGCCAAACAGAGCAACCCGGTATTTGATGGCAGAACTCGGGCTTATTCCAGCTCTGATCTCCCATCTGGAAACTCCAGCGGAGGAGGAAGAATCGCTGGGTTTAGGTACACTAATGGACCAGATGGCCCTCGGATCCGATACACAGGTGGGGGTCCAACCAGCTCCGGACTCAGTATTCCGACCAGTGGCAGGTCAGGGTCGCATGTTCTCAATCAGAGCCTCGATGGCCCGGATGGTGAGGAGGAAGGCGAGCTGTCTCCGGAGGGCCACAGGTTGCTGGTCGGCTCTCTACCGGCTCACCTGTCCCCTCGCCTGCTGGGAGGTAAGATTGGACCGAATATCGACTAGAAATTCGTTTTATTCTGGGACTATCGATGAGTTGATATAATCTGCTGAGATGAAAACTCCACTAAGAGTCGTGCATACGAATCAGTTTGATATTTTTGTTTACCAAAGATGTGCCTAAAAGTTTATTGAAAAGAAGTCTGAAAAAAGCAATACAAAAAAAGAACAAATATGACTGAATAACAAACAATTGTCGACTATAAGAGAGGGCAGCTCTAGACAAAGTCCTAACAGTGACTCCACAATGTAAAAACAAAGCCATCACAGTGATACCACTTGCTACTCAGTGCCTATATGATACTTTCTGGTTTCCTTATTGTTCCTGAAGTACACTTTATGTGTTACAGCAAGTAGAGACACAATAGTGCTGGGAATCCAACTAACTAGTTGTTTAATTATCAATTAATCTGGGGGTTATGGTTTGAAACTATAGTTTGGTTAAACTAAATGTCAGAAAATATTTCGAAAAAGGCCATGCCATTTTCTCAAAGTCCATGATGATTTCTTTAAATGTCTTGTGTTGACAGTCCAAAACCCACAGACCCTCAGATGAATGTGGTATACAGAAAAAGAGAAGAGCAAGGATATCTGTTCTCTTTGCTACACTTTGTTCTTATCTTCCTCAACGGCCATTTTTTTCCACACATGTTGCTTAACTGTAATTTTTAGCTTCATGGCACTCAGTATTAGTTCAGAGTCAACATGTAAGTTCATGTAGGATATCATAAATTTTTGTGACAAGATGTCATAATAATATATATATATCCATCACAATTGCTTTCAAAATCACTTAGTATTTTTCCATTTGACATATGATACCAGGCATATGGTAATAGCAGTCTGATGACTGAGCCCTTTGTTTAGCACCTCTGCACTTTTATTGAAGCCACAGGTGGTTCAGCTGTACTGTACTGCCGTTACTCTCTTCTCTGTCTCGCAAAAACTGACCTGTTTTTCACTGAGAAGGAAGAGTGCATTATGTAGGTCAGCAGATAAGAGCTTCCTGCTGGTTACACATTGCCTGACACACACACACACACACACACACACACAGACTTCCCGAATCTGCAAGTCTAGCTGTTTCTCAACTGGTGTTGTGTCTATAGACCAGACCACAGCACAAAATAAGACTAATACGGTTACAGCACTCCAGCATCCATATCATTTGTTATCAACAAACACTTCTTAACTAAATATCTCACTAGTGTTTACGGAATCCTTAAATCAGTTCTCGTAAATGCTCCAGTTTCCTTGTGTTTCATAACGTGGTCAATAAATCTACATCTGAATACTCCCCTTCCTTTTGATCACTGGCCAAAGGTAATTTCCCTAATGAGGAAGTATAATCATTAATAAGATCATCAGTAACCTTTGCTCCTCAGAGTCTTGTGATTGAGACCCTGCAGGCCTGTCATTGTGTCCGAAAACAAATTACTCAAACATGAGGTTCACATCAGGCAACAAAATAACACATTTGTTGTCCCCTATCTTGACTGAAGGGATAAAATGGCAAATAGGAGGCTAGTTTATCTCAGGTCAAGCAGCTCCTGGCCTATAAAGCTTTGTGTATGTGGGTTCAATTATGAATAGATAGTTCATTTGAATATTAAGACCTCTCTCCAGGAAATGTTTGCACTTAGTTTATAAACAGGAGGATTTTATGATTATGTAAGCAGATTGTAACCGATTACTTAAAGCAGACGGTTAGATATTTAGTGCCTGGAGGTATGAGGTCATGCAGGTCTGCGTAAGATCAATCCTATCCACAACTGTCCCACGCTCTCCCTCTGTTGTTTACATATCAATAAAAACGTATCGGAGACATCTGGGTGCTCACGGTCTTGTCTTTGTGTTTTCCTCCACAGGATTCCACTGTCCTGTTTGCTCCAAGTTTATGGCGTCGGATGAAATAGAGAAACACCTGCTCATGTGTTTCAGCAAAACACGGCTCACCTACAACAGTAAGGAACTAAGCGGGAAAGTGCAAGAGGGCATGGGGGAGTCGTAAAGTGGAAGGAGCTGTTGTTAGCACAGCTAATTATGTGCATATATTATTTTATAAAAATAGACATGCAAAAGAACACATGCAAGTGAACAGTCAGAGTGGACACCAGGACTGTAGATGTCCATTATTATGATCCTTTACTTAAGTTGAAGTTGCAGTACTACAATGTTAATATACTCAATTTCAACTCATGCAAGTACTTCTGATGGAGGATAATTGCCTTTTTCAGAGTTTAAACAATTCCAGGTCAACTTAAGCTGAAAGCAAAAGTCCTGAGTCTTTTTCCTCCATATATTGTTTTATTTAAAAGATTAACAATACGCTGAAAATAACCTCGATATACAGTATTTTACAGGGAAACCAACAAACAAAATGGTGGAAAACTCAACATGCATTTAAATAATAGATATGTTTGTTTTCTCTTTTAAAAAAACATCTTGTGACCACTCGTATTTATCTTTAAATCCCCCACTTCAGGAACCACTGATGATCTTATTTTATCTTAATATTTATTTTTACATATTTTAACACATTACTTTGGGAGTTGGATTAAAATGGTTCAAGTGGTTGACATGGACCTCTAACTACTTTATTTTCTGTTGGGTAGTTCAACCAATTACAATACAATTTTTTTTTTATAGAATTATCAAATGTTTTAAAAAGAAATTTAAACTATTTTACTTCAACTGTATAGTATAGTTGAAGGTAGACGGGTTGACATGCAGCAAGTTAGTGAACATGGTGGGATAGTCTTGTTAACGTAACATATTAACTTTACAAGGTAACTATTAACTATAGCTGTCAAATAAATGTATTGAAGGAGAAAGGACCGTATGTACCTCTTTAATGCAATGAAGTAAAAGTGCTGTATAAGGCTGCATAGAGTAGAGCTACAAGTTCCTGAATTAATCACTTAATTCCATATAAAGGGTATTTATCTACTCTGCTGCACTGCCCTTTGCTTCCCTTCTTCAAATACAATGCTATGTCTTATTATTTATTTTACTGGATCATGAAGAAATAGTAATTCACAAAGTCTTGAAATGAAATTGTGTAGGTAAACTTGTAAAAATGTAAAATAACACATTTCCCACACAATTGCACCTGCAAGATGTTAGAGAGTGCAGCAAGTTAATATGCAGCTGTATATTGACACACCCCGTCAGTGTGCTCACACACAGGAAAGGCACACATCTTGTCTGCATACATTCACAAGTCACCACACACACACTCTCTGCAGGTAGAGACATTTCAGGCTTCACAGTGGTGCATTTATAAAAACAAGAATAGATTTCTCCACATTTCCAAGTGTTGTTGCATGTGCAGAGACTTGCACACACCCACTGCAACATGCATGTTACTGATAAATGCAGTAGATGCCGCTCACAGACTGCACAGTGTTTCCTAGCTTACCACAGGCATACAGAAGTGTTTTTTAAAGTCTACCTTAGTCATTTTTTAAATGTTTGCATGAAGAAGCTAAAAACAGTCACTCCTTTGCTTCAGGTGTTGACACTAAGGCCTGTCATAGCTAACTATGCACATAAACATGTGACACCAAAGTATATTGAACACACCAAATATACCATTAGAGAAAAGTATAATAAAAAGTGAAACTATGTTCTAAATATTACAATCTATTCCCACTAGTGACTGCATATTTAATCACCACAACACTGACAGTGATACCAGTTTTCATGTGGGCACAGACAGACATTCTGGTACCAAAGGTTAAACAGATGGTTGTGCAAGATTATGTTACTGAAACATCTGATGCGTGTCATTTGGTGTGCGAGGAAGCTCTTTTTCTCAGTTTGCTCAGTCTGTGCGTATTGTCTTGCTCAGAGGACATCCTGTCCAGAGACTCTGGGGAGTGTGCCATCTGTTTAGACGAGATGGAGCTGGGAGAAACCATCGCCAGGCTGCCCTGCCTCTGCATCTACCATAAAAGGTAGCTCTCACACACACACACACACACACACACACACACACACACACACACACACACACACACACACACACACACACACACACACACACACACACACACACACACACATAAATAAGCAGATTGTGGTTGGGAATAGGTTGACAAATGCACCAACTGTAAAACAAATCATGACTACCAGAGCTTCATTGATAGCATACAAGCATGAGAGTGGTGATGTGACTAATCTCCCACTGAATAGTCGCTTAGAGTTAGGCTCATCACTTTGATTTTGAAGTATAAAGTCTGTACTGAAGTTATAGTTTAGCGATGTTTCATAATGGAAAAAAAACAATAACTAATACAGGACCAACGGTCAACAGAATATGTCTGAACCTAGCCCATCCTCTTTGCCTTTTCTACAAACCCTGACAACAGGTGTTCTAAATACAATAAACCACTCCCATGTTACTATTGCCAGAAGTGACCAATTACGAATGTGTGCTACCAAATGATACCAAAAAACAATAAACAGAGGCTAACTAAGCATTTTTGGCTCCTACAAGTGGTATGAGTCTTTTGGAGAGAAAAACAAGCGTATTTCTACAAATATTAAACTATTAGTTAAGCAAGAATGCACTCTGTTGGAGCTATTTTTTACTTTTGTGCAAGGCACTGACATACATATTTTAATTAAAACATACCAAAGATAAAATACAGGTGGATAGAGAAGCATTGTTTCAAGAAAAGGTTGTAGTTCAATTAATACAATAACTGAAGATATGCAGAAGTGACATGTGTCTTGAGGACCAGAACGACTTGAATATAAGTAAAACGTTTATTTATTTATCTCAAGTAATAATTTAACATTTGGCAGATTATTTATTCACTAGGATATTTAAAAAAAATGCTGGAATATTCTTAAGAATCAAAAGTAAATTGCTCTTCGAAAGAATGTATATTAAATGACAAATCAAATTAATTCCAATTCTGGGCAGAAATACACAACATATATCACAATACAATCTGTTATCTTGACGGGCCTAGTATGTATTTTTTCACTTATTTTGATCACACAAGACACAAATCTCTCCTGTTTGTGTTTCAGGTGTATAGACGAATGGTTTGAGGTGAATCGCTCGTGCCCGGAGCATCCCTCCGACTAGGAGCTGCAGGAGTCCAGTTTCAGTCTCCTGTGCCCTGACCTCAACCCAACACTGTCTGTTCAGCCGAGCTTCTGCGCTCCTCAGGGATTGTTAGACATTAATGCGCACAGGATTTTTCATAAATGCCTCGTGGAACAGCGATGGACTTTGGATATTTTCCTCTAGACGTCGTGGGACGTTCAAAGAACCACTGGTGGAGTCGTTTTGGCTCCAGAAAATATGTGAATGTTCATAATGCCACCTACTGGCATAAAGTGGGTTCATGCATACTTGGATCTGAACTTTTTTTTGCTGAACAGGGTGTGGTTTTATAGCAGAGAGGACTTGTATAACCAACCTGGTGCAAGAGGTATGTCTCTTTTCAGACTGTTCAAACTTGATCTGAAGGCTGATGTTGTGCAATGTGAAAAAACAGCCATTCAGAATTTAAAGAATGCCGCTGTCAGCCTTAAGGGATGATTACAGTGTTGATGGTATTTAGAAAACAGATCGTAATGATATTGTGAAGATGGTGAAATCATTTCTCATTAAACAATCAAGTGTCCTAGATCAAAATAGACTAACGCTGAGTGGTCTAAATTTGTCAATCATTCGTCCATTCAGAACCACAGTAACGTGATTGTGTAGTTGCGTGGTGGAAATAAAGACAAAACATATCTAATTTTGATTTATACTCTAAGGAGTGCCATAATATGCTGCTATGTCATAGACTGGAATGTTTTTCATATAACCTTTAAACGTTTGTCCGTTGTACTTTCTATTTGTACTGTAATGAATTGCACAACAATACATGTTTTGTCTTTGTGTCTCTGTACTCTATATACTATTAAATATTTTAATAATTTATCTACATGTAATGGTAATGAGTTATCCCGCGAACAGATGCATTTTCACCGTCCGAGATGAATGAAAATAGGAGGAAGATTCAGAAGGGAAATGAGACAATAATTTATTTTTTAAAAGATATACATTTTTAGGGTCTATACTTCCGGAAATAATGTTTACACAGACAGTCAACAGTTTGAAGACATGAAATCATGAAAGAATTTCTACTACATCTTTAAACTTTAAAAATGTTAAACCAAGACAGCTGATCTCTCAATTTCTATCACTGAGAGATGGCAATGAATATAAGTGATGACTCAAGTGAGCAAACTGGGGATAAACTGGATCATGTGTCCTCTTTGATTGAGGAATGTTCAGCTTTTAATTTACTTAAGGTGCTGCAGAGATAATAACTCAGTACAACTGTGTCTATATTTTGTTATAAAACGGATGAGGGTGTTCACTATATAGCTTAGAAAAAAAAGTCTGTCAGTCTGTTTTCCACATTTATTTAAGTATGGCCTTGGTCAAGAATGTTTGAAGCGAGTACCCAAAACATTCCTGATTTGGATTTAAATCAATTACCATGCCTAGTGATGGTTTTCATTTCTCTTTCTTTGTGAGTTAGTCATAAATCAAAATAGATGACCTTTTTTTTTAACTTATCTAATGAGACCGACTTCTCGTTGTGAACGTTTTTAAACACAAAACATTATTTTTGGATGAATGTACTTTTAAATGTTCCAGTTACGTATGTATGCATTTTGCTTTTGTTTTTCCTGTCGTACAGTGACAGGAAAAACAAAAGCAAAATGCATACATACGCGTGACGTAATCACGTTGCGTTCACGTTGATGACGCGGTGCGCGCACACACAACGTTTACGAAAAGGTACACACAGCGGCAGCGATTACTAACGGGTTTTTGTGTAAAATAAGACCCAACAAGCATCGTTTAAATACGAATTCCCTTTCAATTTAAGGTAAGGATTTTCCGCATCAACATTTTTAATTCCTATCTAACTAGTAAAGCTTAATTATTTCCCCTTCTATACTTTACTTTGGCTTACGTCCATTCAAGCTAACTAGCTAGCATGCTAACTGCACATCTCAAACTACGAGCAGAAATCTACATTTACAGCTGAATGTAAACTTAAAGTTACTCTCACTGCCCTCTGATTAAGTAAAGCTAAAGATACATTTGTTTTTTCAGCGTGGGAATCGACATCTAAGGATCAAGATGTCGTACATGCTACCACATCTCCACAATGGCTGGCAGGTCGACCAAGCCATCCTGTCTGAAGAGGACCGGGTGCTGGTGATCCGCTTCGGACACGACTGGGACCCGACCTGCATGAAGATGGACGAGGTTCTCTACAGCATTGCAGAAAAGGTTTGTCCAGTGTCCTATTCAACCTTTTAAATATAGTAGTAGCCCCTCCACTGTTTTTCCATGATCAATAGCATCACACACAGGGGTGGGAGAAGTACTCAGATCTTGTACTTGAGTAAAAAGTCAAGTCAAAGTCAACTTTATTGTCAATCTTCCAGTTTGTGTGTACAGATAGAGAGATCGAAATACCGTTTCATCAAATCCCGAATATAAAAACAAATGTATATAAAAATATGTGTGCAAATATGTATATCTTATATACACAGAGTCAAAGACACATTTTTACATATGCACACATTAAGACCTAAATAAAAACACAACAATTAATATATACAAAATAACGGTCACTTCAATAGTTGAGAATGTACATTAGTGCAAAATTGTATTTGTGCAGATTGTCCAAAAAAGTAGAAGTACCAGAGTGTAGGAATACTTTGTTACGAGTAAAAGTCCTGCAATCAAAATGTTACTCAAGTAAAAGAACAAAAGTATTAGCATCAAAATATACTAAATTAACCAAAAGTAAAAGTAGTCATTCTGCAGATTGGCACATTTGAGAAAAATATATTTATGTTTTGATTGTAGTTATTTATTTAATCGTTTATTTGGCAGGGACAATGCACAGTAATGAACACTTAAAACATTAAAATGTGTCAAGCGTAACAGTGCCAGATTTAGCTTTGAGCTCATTTCCATCTGCAGTCCCTCACATAAAACATTTAAGAAAATTACATTTTACAAACATAGCAAAAACAAATACATGATATGCAAAAAGAGCAAGAACAGCATACACAAGTATTTATGACATGGTAATACAATATAGCAGCTATGACATATAAAGTGCAAGAGGAGATACCCGGGTATTAAAGTGCATTTAGCGGTGATTGCACGTCTGTTTGTTTCTCAACCATTGTTTGAGTTGACCTTTTGAGTTTTTGATGCATTAAAGCAGGGGTGTCAAACTCAAATACAGAGTGGGCCAAAATTCAAAAATGGGTACTAGTCGAGGGCCGGACTGGTTCAATGTTTATTGCAAAACGTATTAAAATGAAGTTATTGCACATATTAAACCTGGAACTAACAAAACTTAAATGATTGTCTATAAAAACAACATTAAACATTAAATAATCAGTTGCATTCATTTCTTATGGCTCTATCCAGAGTCATTTCTTATGATTACATTTTCCCGCAGGCCAACAACAGCTTCTAAAAAACTATTTTCCTCAAAGAACAAACAAAACATGCCCTGTTGTCGCAAGAAAGAAAGTGCAGAAGGAAACATCCATGTAAACTCAGTGTGCTGCTCTGTGATGCTAGTTCAAGCCAGATACTTGGCATCTCATCTTGGGTGCAGGTTCATCAATGTTTGGGCTCAGGCTCTGAGCGGAGGAAACCCTCATGATTGAGTGAAGATGTGGGTGCAATATACCGGCAGGCCAGATCTAATAGTCATTTTAAAAAATCCTGCGGGCCGAAATGAAATCCACCAAGGGCCCGATTTGGCCCCCGGGCCTTGAGTTTGACACATGTGCATTAAAGTGTTCTCAAAGCTGGTAAAGGTGCAGCTACTTTGAATGACTTTGTATACTGCAGGGTAGCTCGTGAATTTACTCCAGGTGGAACTAAAGTCTGATTAATACGTTGTTTACATTTCACATCATTAATCCAAATCTACAAAGAAACTAAAGGTGAGATACATGTAGCGGAGTAAAAGAGCAAGATTTACCTCTGAATTGTAGTGGAGTAGAAATATAACGTAGCAGAACATGGAAATACTCAACTAAAGTACAGGTACCCTTAAAATTGTACTGAAGCACCGTAGTTGAGTAAATAAACATAGTTACTTTAATCCAGTGACGAAGATCTGCTGTAACAGCTTTCTATAGAGACAGCATTCTATCCGTATCATAAAGCAGCACGGAAATCACATTAAAAAATGAAGAAGTTTATAATTCTGACTTAAACTTTGTATTTCAGTCAAATGCATTGTTTTATTATACACTCTAATGTTCACTCTCAAATGATATAAGTGCATAAACCTGGAACTGAATTACAGTTATGATCAGCTGTTAAATAGTTCACTGTTAAATATACACGTTAGCATTAACCTCACACACATTGATACTCAGGCAGAGGCTGCTGTACAAGGTGCCATCTGCTCAGGAACCTTGAATTTCCTTTAGTTAGTTGGGGTAAATGTTGGCAAAAATGTATTTGCAAGGAATAGTTTATTCTATACGTACAAAAACTATGATACTATTTCAGATCAACTGTATAATGAAACCTTTCCAAATCCTTGGTGGTTATTACATATTCAGCCTTTTAGCTCCAACATGAGTGTTACAGATTCTAGTTCGACTTAACCTCAGCTGAAAATCATATACATTTTTTCAAGGTAGCTAAGTGAACATCATACAAGGGTCCTTTCCTGGGATGCTTCATATTTTTTCTAGGGCAGATTTATGTTGTCTTCTGAAGGGATGTGAAGATTCATCACCATGTTCATCTCGGTAATCACAGATTCATCACCATATTCATCTTGGCGGTTTATTACAGATTCCCATTACAGTGTGTTATGTTGGGGTTGTCTTACTCTGTCAGCAGTGTGGAGGCTGTTTTCAGGACATGCTGCTCAAAGCTATACAGATGTTAAAAAGCTGAGGCAGAGAAATCATGTTTCAAAGCTGTAACTTATTCTCTTTTGAAAGCATATTTAGACATGCCCATTCTTTTCACCAGTGCACTAAAAAGGTGAGGTAAAAGAGGTTCGTAGCAGTCCACGAACAGTATGTTAAGCACTAGTTCATATCGTCCATTGATTGAACTAAGATGGTTGACTGAACAAGTCTAGGATAAAAGGTGCATTTTGAGATGGGATTTTAAAGCATGGTCAGCGTACTTTTCAGCAACTCATTCCAGTTTGGGGGGCTACAACTGCAAAGTCTTGATCTCCCATGTGCTTTAAATGTGATTTTGGGAGAACCCACATGTCAGCAGACCTGAGTGACCTAAATGGGACCTTGATGTATTGTAAAGGGTCAGAGAAAGGTAGTAAGCAAACAATAACATCTTTAAATCAATCTTAAAACGTACAGGAAGTCCGTGAAGGGAGGCCTGTTCTGACTTGCCTGTTCCGGATAAAGACGAGCTGATAACATGAGTGTTATCAGGTGGCCATTGTAATGTAAATAACACAAATATGACATGTATTCAATTGAACTGGCTAAGCAGATGCTGTTATTTGTAAACAAAACAAAAACACAATAGTCTAGGTAGGAGAACTATTCTGATCCATATTGTAAATAGCGTAAATCCGTTGTGCTGCTCAGCCTGTAATGTTGAATACTTTGCTTTTCTTTGATGATAGTTTTTAATATTTCATTATGCTACTGTGAACTGGAAAATTAATTGCTGCCATTTGTAAACAAAAACATTAGTTAAAAAAAGAAGTATTTAGATAAATCAAGTAACTAGCCTTCCCTCGTTGTGTTGTTCAGCCTGTAATGTTTGCTGTTCATAATGATGGCTTGCTGTGTTATTAATATTCTACATATGTATTTCCCGACAGGTGAAGAATTTTGCCGTCATCTACCTGGTGGACATCACAGAAGTGCCCGACTTCAACAAGATGTACGAGTTGTACGACCCCTGCACCGTCATGTTCTTCTTTAGGTGAGCGCTCAATGGCTTTCATGTCAAAATCAATAAAACCCTTGTATAATAATCTGATTTAGAAGAACCAGGTTGCTGTTTGAAGACCTTCTCATGTCCGCTCCTGCCTGTCATTGAGAACTTAACGTTTGTGTCTCTACAGGAACAAACACATCATGATTGATTTGGGCACCGGCAACAACAACAAGATTAACTGGACGATGGAGGACAAGCAGGAGATGATTGACATTGTGGAAACAGTTTACCGTGGAGCGAGAAAAGGACGAGGTCTGGTGGTGTCTCCCAAGGATTACTCTACAAAATACAGATACTGATTTTTACTTTTTCCACCTTTTTTGGATGTTTTTTTTGTTGACATGACACAGAGACTACATTTATGGAAGAACATTTGTTTTCCGCCAGTGAAACAAGACAACATTCTTGTTAATGATCATGTTTGTGCTGAATTGTGTCATCCATGTTTGTGGAGTGTACATTGTTGAGTTATTCAATTTCTTCAACAATAAAAGTGTTTTTTCGTAAACCGTAATTTCTTGGAAACAGGTGCTAAAGAAAGCAGTCAGTGTAACATTCTTCATATCTGGATATTGTAATAAATGGATGGTGGTGGTTGTTAGGGAATCATTTGCTTAGGTATTCAACCTTCGACACAGTACATCATTTTCTCCTTTCACTGTCTCCTTTCCCACGGCCTTGGGTATTGCTGCTATCTCTCTTAAGGAGGAGCAGCTTGGGCGCGTTGTTGTTGCCAGTCTACAGAGCACAAGCCGCTATGAGGTAGTTTACTGTTCAGGGGACGTAGGTTCCCAGGCGAACATTATTTTCTATGGACGAGAGCTCTAGTTAGATTCAGGGTCCATATTTGTTTAGTCTCACTGATAAAGAATGTTGATCATTACACTCCGAACTAGTTAAAACATAGAGCTGCAGAAGAGTTCTTCAGCATTTATTGTGGGATCTCAAACGTGTGGTCAACTCGTGGCCCGTGACATGTCTTCATGAATTCTCCGGCCGAAGCTCCAAATAAACCGTTCAGTGTTTGCCATCAAAGCTCCAGCTCTCCTCGTGTCTCTGAGCATACTTGTCAACCCTCCCGATTTTCGCGGGAGACTCCCGATTTCATTGCCCTCTCCCGGTTTCCTCCCGGGGTCATATTTCTCCCGGGGTCATATTTCTCCCGATTTCTGACAACATCAGATTTACACACGACTGTTTCCACTCGGACTTTAATACAGCGACACCATTGTTTGGTTTCCATGGTAACACGTCTCTTTAGTAGCGCGCGCAACTCAAAGTCTGAGAGGGTGAGGCAGATATTCACAGAAAACAGAACAAGAATCGACAACTACTCTACTCTCTGCTCACTCCTTTCCTGTAAAATACAGGTCCAGCCCACACATATGCTCCATCAAGGATGGTGCTACAGGCCGCAAGGCAGTGCACTTACAACTACAATAAGCATGTTAATGTTAATCTAACAGCTCCGGCGATCCACTAGCACCCCCCCCCCCCAATTTTGCATTTTGAAACGCTCCCGATTTCTGAGGTCTAAAGGTTGGCAAGTATGTCTCTGAGTCCTGATTCCTGACTCCAATTGCTTCAGAAGTTTCCCCCACAGTGGTTATATCTTTACATATAGAAGTGTTTTGCTGCATAGTTTCAAAGCTGTCCTTTCTACTTCTCTCACAATGGGGAAAACGTTGTGCCATGCTGTAGCCACCCACAAAATGCTTGAAAAACTTTCTGCCCACAGTGTTTAAATTCTACAACAAGCTCATAAGGATTGCTTTCTGCCACATTGTCAGAGATAGAGATTTAACGTGTTCATGTGTGAGAGCTTTTGCGCTGCATAACTTCAATCATCAGCTTTAAAAATCAGGATTGGAAAAATATCATAAACTCTTAAATCAGCTGCAGAGCCTTTTTTATTTAAAATGTCACATAAAGCACATTTTGTAATTGCATTTAACAAAACTTCAAATTTCATTTATTCATTTGGAAACAAATCCAAATGCTCATAAATGTCAAAGTATTTCATTGCACCCAGCTGTAGACATATTTATTCAGTGGTGTAGAAAATGTAAACCTGACATATTAAAGCCTGAAGTCAGAGAGTGCATTTACCTCAAATCTCCATCAGGTGGCGCCAGAGATATTTGGCAGAATCACAGTGCTGCTACAATCCTGCAATACACAAGAAGTTATTTATTTAGCACTTGTGAAAAAAGAACAGTTTAAAGAAAAGGTTTGTTAGGTAATACGGACAAATACATTTAAAATAGTAAATATTTGGCTTTCTGCTAGTTTTCATCTGCAGTCTCTGGAAAGGTAGACACAACACAGTCCTCATGCAATACATCGTAGAAATACCACAAATAGTCAATTTGATCGCAAATCCAAGGTGTGTGAACATTTGAATAATTAGTCCCAATCTATGCAATATAGACGCGCAGTACACGGTAACTGCAAGGGGTAACACAAGGTTTAAAGGCAATTACTGTACTACTGCACTAATGATAAACAAGCCTTTTTTATGGAAACTAATGTATGTTACAAAAACATACAAAATAATTGCACGTACAGCTTTGCTTTTTTGTATATATCTTTACTTAATTATTATGTTTTTAATGCTCAAATTGAAGTATAATCAATTAAATTCCACTGGGACATCAGTCTCATTACAGTTTTCAGTTGTTATCCATCAATGGCAGATATATTGAAATACTGAGAGGAAGGAGCACAGTTGAGAGTATAGGAGTTGGACTCAGTCGATGAGTCTCAATATCAGTTAGCTGTCAGCTCCATCTCTTAGAGCTGCAGACACTGGGACAGAGACAGAGCCCAATTTGTGGAGTGATAAATTAGGTGAAAGGGGATGGACTGTGTGTGTGTGTGTGTGTGTGTGTGTGTGTGTGTGTGTGTGTGTGTGTGTGTGTGTTCGTTCCTGGCACTTCACCACACTCTTTGTTTAAAT